GTGCTGTTGGTTGGTAGTTGCTCCAGGACAGGGGCTGCTGTGTGAATGACTCCAAGTGTGTCCTCGTGAGCGAGTAGAACAAGTTCTATCCTGGATGACTGTTATCTTGCTAAGAATAGCCTCCCCACAGGGAGCCGCCTGTGTGGGTGAGGCTGGATTGATTAGGGCAGTAGATTGATTGGGCAAATATCTGTTTCCTCTCTCCTGGAAAAAAAGCTAAATAAATAAAACACTGCTTCTGTGCACCAGACTCCCCTCCATTACAAATCAGCAAGCAGCCTCGAAACACAACACGATGCATTATTAGTTTAAAAGGGATTAGGAGCCAGCTGATATGATAATGCTCCTCAATCTGAACTGCAGAGTAGCGGCTCGTGTGCAACGTGATATATGGTCTGCATATGGCATGAAACAGGACTACAATGATTCCAAATGCACTGCAGGTGTCCAACTGAACATTAGAGACACAGGTAGGGTTTTTTACACGAGACAACAGAGCGTCTGTAACATTTGTCATATAATGAGGGCAGAAACTTTATAAACCACTGAATTTGATTCTTCAGATTATACGACAAACATTTAATTCCAGCAGGAGCTAGGCTTACATTAGTTGGAAACATCTCAATTGGTCTTTGATTAACAGCCCTGGATTTCTGTGGACACACAAATAGAATAACCAGTCTAACCAGTGATGAGGATGCTCCTTGATTGCACTTCTCTTTACAGCGTTATCTTCTCAAACCTTCTAAAGAAAACTGCTGTGACTGGTCCAGCTTCAGTAGAACTTTGTTTACCAGATCCTTCGCCATGAGCACTCAGACTTCCCACTGAGCCATCCTTCTGCTCCAAGTTTCTACTTTATAAGCAAGCAGCGCCGATGTCCCGCGTCGCTGACGGGTTTGAAAAGTGAATGTTTGTAGTTTTCAAGATGAGTTTTTCTACTTTTTCTGGACTGACACTGAACAGAGAATGCAAGTAAACCTTGATCTTTTTGCTACAAGATATTGAAGTGGGTAAGAGTTACACTCTGCATAACAACAGAGGTAGGTTTGTTTTTTGGTTTGTCCGAGGCTGCGCAAAGTGACGGATCATGGTGAGCACAGGGAGCAATTATACTCACCACCAGGTGCAGTGGTGGAGCCAGGGGGTGGCCTTGGCCACCATAGATTAATCTTATGACACCCCACAGGCCACCCCAATCATTTGAGGAAACTCTACTTTTAAGTAACATAAAAACTGGGGAGCGTAGTTTCCTCAAATGATCGGGGTGGCCGGTTCACATGTAGCAGCAGCAAGCTTGGATTTTGACATGGCAACAAAAGTTTCGAAAGGGCCCGTTCCTACACCTAGATGCAGCCACACTTCAAAATGGAAGTTGATATCACTTATTTTTCAAGTTATTCAGCTCACAAGACAGAAGCATGGCATTTCCAGTTCCACTCTGCTCCACAACATTTCCACTGTCGATGTGCTGCAAGGATGAAGGATTGTAACAAGGTGAAGATTCAAGCCCATGTGCTGGCTCGCTTCTGTACACAACGTTATACTAACTGGCATTTTATGATGTACTGAATGGGACAGCATTGTGTTCTATTTGGATATATAATGGTATGTGAGGGCAGCACAGTGGCTCAGGTGGTAGAGCTGCTGCCTCTCAGCAAGAAGGTCAAGGTGGGTAAAGATGATGGTTGGATGGATGGATGGATGGATTTGGACTTGATATTTTTGTACAATGTCCTGAGATGACTTTTGACATGGCACAATAAAAATGAACAGAACTGAATTCTTTGTACAGCGAGTCAAAAAACCATTGAAACTCAAAATGCTCTCACTGCACTGTTTGACATTTAATCAACATAAAACGTGCATTATTTGAACAGATTTTACTCCACTGCACCAGTCCTGGGAACAAAATCTGACTATGTCAAAGTCAAAAAGGAAGGCAGTCATTGATCATCTTTTCACAAAACAGCTGAGCATTTAATTAACACACACTCTCTTTCAAACTGGGTCAAACAAGCAGAGAATGTGAAAGGGAAACAAAGGTTGTGGTAAAAAGTGAGCTCACACTCTTCCAACTGAACCATCACTGAGATGTCACTGCGTTAGCACAGAGATACAACCCAGCAGCCTTATGAACAATCAGTGACTGAAAATTAGCTATAGGTCAGCTGATGAATCGCCCAACGACTTCAACAGTTACTGACCACGCTTCTGCAGACGCAGCCCAAGATGAAGTGAAACAGAGACGATGCAGCAGCAGCTGCTACAGTCGGCTCACTGCAACTCTCTGTTTAGTTGTTTAAAACAAAACGGCTCTTTGTTACAAGCCCACGACCTGGTTTCTTGTGTAATGAGAGAGCAAGAGATGGATTCAGCTCAGGGGTGCTCTCTTACATTTTATATTATCTGGACTAGTTCAAGTACATGATATTATACTTAATTTAAACGGATTCTTTCATTTTTCTGGACTAAGTCATATCGTGCTTTGTGGAGTAAATGTGGACAGAGACGTGTTTAAATTTCTGACTCACCAACAACAGTGGGTCGTTTATTTTAAACGATTTAAAAACACATCACACATTTACATTAATTGGCAGATTGATTACAATTAACACAGCATAATTACTGAGCTTTACAATGAGAAATCATACGGCCATGATTTCTCACTTGCAACTAATTACAACAGACATTTCTGAAAATATCTGGATTAATTACTGGCAGATAGAAGTTTAAAGATGGGGAATGAAGGAGTTTAAATGGAGAGAAAAGATGTGTGAGGGAAAATGTGTTGACGAAGAACGACACCCTCCATTCGAACCCAGCTCTACCTCGGTACACTTCGGTAGTGGAAATCGACTCTTTACCTTGCAGAAGATATCTCAGCTTCGGTGTAGAGTTCTCTTTCAGCGTTACCATTTCAGCGTCTCCGTAGGATAGCAGAGAACCGTCCGGAGTAGTGACGGTACTTCGTTCAACAGCACGCTCACCTCACGGGTGGACTCACATGAGCTGTGAGCCCGTCAGAGTTCCACTCAGATGTGGAAGATTCCATAATCCCCACGAGACTCGAAAGAACTCCCAACTAACTCCAGCACTTCAGAACTTTCGTTTGGTTCTGCTCTCAGAACTTTGGTTCATGTCTCAGAACTTTGAACTGACTGGAACTAGGAAGTGTCGACTTTTTAAAGAGTTCGCTTCCGGTCCCTTTTTTGGGAACTTCCTGATTGGTTGAACGAACCAACAGGGGTGTGGTTTTAGTGACGTAAGAGGTTACTACAAGTCAGAAAAACAGTGAGATGTTTTAGGAACAGACAGAGAAATGTTATGGCGAAATGAGAGATTCACAGGTGCCAGCTTCTCTTGTTTACCGTCTGCTAGGTTTAAAAACATGACAGTTCGTTCCAATAACTTCTTTCTGACTTTCTCCGACTTTTGACCGACATCGCTCCTTCTCATTTCAGACAGAAGATCAAAATGCATAATTACTTTGTAACAGACATCTAACTTGATTTCTATTTTGAATGAGGATTAAAAATCATTAATACTGTTTCACAGTTGATTTAAAATGAGTGGTTCACTTCAACATTTAAAATGGTTTGAACTAAACACACTTTTGATTATTAAGACATTTGTAAAATAGTAATGATAATATGAAAGAGAGTGTTCTTTCAATTGATTAGTGCAGGACACACTTAGAAAGTCTCTGGATGAGCTTAATTTGTATTTCTGGACTCAAATCAATGAAATAACAGTTCCTGTCCCACGAAGGTCCAGGTTTTGACCTGAGGCTTAGTTCACTACACTTGTTTGTTGTGTACCACTAACAGATGTGATCAATCTCATAAGGCAATCCAACTACTAATTTTACAATCCTCAGGAGTCCATGATTATTCACTTTTTTATTCTAATACCCATGTAAAATGAGCCCCTAACAATTCAATGATGACAAACCTGACAAAAACTGAACCAACAGCAGATCAGTCTGCCTGGAACAGATCGGTCTCTCTGGACCAGATCGGTCTGCCTGGAACAGATCAGTCTGCCTGAAACATATCGGTCTGCCTGGAACAGATCCGTCTGCCTGGAACAGATCCGTCTGCCTGGAACAGATCC